TTTTTGCTGTATTCCATATATTTTGATATATTGTGTTTCCATTAACATTTGTTTCAAAAAAATTTTCAATTTCCTTCTGAATTTCTCTATTGACCCACTGGTCATTCAGGAGCATATTGTTTAATTTCCACATGCTTTTATAGTTTCCAAAATTCCTCTTGTATTTGATTATTAGTTTTACTCTATTGTGGTTAGAGAAGATGTTTGATATTATTTAAATTTTTTGAATGTTTTAAGACTTCTTTTGTGACCTAACATATGGTCTATCCTTCAGAATGGTCCATGTGCTGTGGAAAAGAATGTGTATACTGCAGCCATTTGATGAAATGTTCTGTAAATATCTGTTAGATCCTTTTGGCCTATAGTGCAGATTAAGTCCAATGTTTCTTTGTTGACTTTCTGTTTGGAAGGTCCATCTAATGCTGAAGGTGGGGTGTTGAAGTCTTTAGTTATTATCTCTCTCTCTCTCTCTCTCTCTCTCTCTCTCTTTAGCTCTAATAATATCTGCTTTATATATGTGGGAGCTCTCATGTTGGTTGCATATATATTTACAACTATTATATCCTCTTGCTGGACTGACCCCTTTATCACTATATAGTGACTCTTCTTATACTTTTTGTCATGAAATCTATTTTGCCTGATATAGGTATAGTGACTCCTGCTCTTTTTTGGTTTCCATTGGCATGGAATATCTTTTTCTATCTCTTTATTTTCAGTCAACTCGTGTCTTTATTGGGTAAGTGTGTTTCTTGTAGGCAACTGTCCAATAGATCTTGTTTTTTATCCATGTAACCACTCTATGTCTTTGGATTGGAGAGTTTAATCCATTTATATTCAATGTTACTACTGATTAGTAAGGACTTATTCTTGCCATTTTGTTATTTGTTTTCTAGTTGTCTTGTGGTCTTTACTTTTATCTCTACTTCGTTCACTAAAAGGAAGCTTTTAGTCAAGGTGAGTTTCTCTAGTGATATGGTTTAGTTTCTTGCTTTTTATTTTGTATGTATACAGTGAGGCTTGATGTTCTAATGTACTATGGCTCAGCTAGCACTCAAACCACAAGACATAGTGCTTCCCGCTCTCCCTCCCCTTTCTGAAGGCAGTGAAAGCTCACCTTGTGTCCACTGCCACCACAGATCCATGGGGAGCATTGCCAAGCTACCACTGATGTTCCTTTAAGGTCCAAGGGCTCTTCAGTCAGCTTGTGTGAATACTGCCTGGCCTGGGACTCACCTTTCAGGACAGTGGGCTCCCCCTCCTTCCCAGGACAGGTCCATAAATGCCATCCAAGAACCAAGTCAAGGAATCAGAGACCTTAAGAACCTGCTTGGTGCTCCACCCCTGTGGCCAAGCTGGTACCTAAAGTGCAAGCCAAAGTCCCCTTTACTTTTCCCTCTGCTTTTGTCAAGCAGCAAGAGTCTCACCCCATAGCCCTCACAGGTAAGAATGCACTAATTCTCACCTGAAGCCAGCATCTCTTAGAGTCTCACCCAAAGCCCTTGATGTAGTATCTGAGTCTTGCTGCTGGTTTTTCAGGGGCCAAGAGCTTT